GTTAAATATGGAGTGAATAAGGAGCAGGGAGCAATTGCCCAACACGGAGGAAGATGTGCCTCCACAACCCTGTTACTAACACTGCTTTCCTGGAGCATGAACTGTGCATCTCTGAAAATCACACTTACGTGTAATTCTCAAGCTAGCAATTTAATTTAGTTTTCTGGCTATTCTTTCCAGTGGCTCCTGATAACAATGACCTTGAATTAGTTATATCAGTGATCTGTGGCTGGTTGAAAGTGGGACAAGATTGCGTAAGTCTTCCCATGCCATGAAAAAGAAAGAGTAATGCATGTGGAATGTATAGTCCTGAAGCAATTCTTTGCTTGCAGTCTTTAATGAGACCCTGGCAATATTTTCCCTGTTTTTCATTCTCAATAAGATCTTTTACTTCTTACTTTCTCATTAAATTATTGTGCATCAAAATTCTGAGCTTTATTGTCTTTTTTTTTTCCACCATTTTTTGTTTATATACCATTCTGGGTGAGCATCAATCTCTATAGTGAAACATGACAGTGTTTGCTTTCTTTCAACGCCTAAAGTTGGAAGGTGACCAGGCCCCTGAAGCAGGAGCAAGCATGACGCCTGCCTTCTGCACAGAAGTAACTTCGTGCTGGATAAACATGTTTTGTAACCCTTAAAACGAAGTTTGAAATTTCCTCCAGGACAGGTGTGGTTACAGTGTGTAATTGCTACATGCTAGCAAAGAAAGTTAAACGCATCAGTAACTTTGAAGATCTTCCCTGTGTCTGACTACTTGCCCGAGGCTCCAATTTAATTACATCCCCATACATTGGTTTTATGATGGCTTTTTGTTGTTTAAAAATAGCATGTTACGATCTGTGGGTAGAACTTTCCTTTGAAAAGCCAACAGGAATTTTTAGTTGAATGGCAAATCTTTTCTGAAATTCTGTGATTTCTTTGAACTTTCCTATTAATACCTTTAAATTCTTGGCAGCCCCAGTTAAAAGAAATAAGAGAATAATTCTTAAGTCTTCCCTGCAGAGCAACATGTATCTTTCAGGCCAAATAATATTTTCCATCTCTGGAACTTTACACCTAAATTTCAGGATACTCACAGATGACTCTGGATACTGGGCATGTTCATCACTTGTCTTTGTTCAACAGCAACACGGTTCCAGGCGGATCAGTATGTCCTGTAGAGCTGTTTTTCTAGTGATGCAATTTGCATACAATTAGTAGAGCTATTAAGAGGCATTCACCCTGTGCTATGCTTGCTATGCCAACCAGGCCTCTGATGGACCAGACACCAGACACTGCTCAGCACTTCTGCTCTTCCCCGTGTGAAGGTGCTGTTCCTAAGAATACCAGCAATGCACTGACAAACTTCACAATACTTGAGCAGGCTAATTCCAGGCAAACCCCAGTCTCACGCTGCAGAAAATTGTTTGGACAGGATCAAGTATGTGGCAATAACTTCAAAGGGTTTGGAGGTGTGACTTCACTTGTAAAACTAGCTGAAATGAGATGAGGCTACAATGAGGTAGCCAGGCAACACCTCTTTCTTGTCAGGATGTGTCTGAAGGCTTTGTCTTGTTTTCATGCTTCCTTTGTCTCCAATGCACTGCATGATTATTCTTGGAGTCACTAGGATGCTGTCAAAAAACCAGTACTTACTTGTGCAGGTATGCAGAGCACTAAAGCAACCAGATCAGGTATTTTCAAGACACATCACTATGGTGTTAATCACCACAGAAGCCCTCTTTTCAAGATTTTTGTTTTCATCCCACACAGAACAGTAGAATTACATCAATCCTTTTCTCAACCTGTCTTGCTGCACCTCTGCGCTGGACTTGCAATAGCAGCCAGTTTCTCCTGCTGCTGTGAAAGGGTGCAGTCATACATCCTTCAGTGTGGATGTTGTCAGCGTACCTGGATGAAGCTGCTCTGCCTACGTGCTTGTTCTACTACAGAAAAGGCACACATGGGAGCCAGAAGCTAGAGCCTGGACTATAAACAGATCACTGCAGTATGTATTAATTGATCAATGAACTCTACTGACTTTGAAGGGTGCTTGAAGACATAGCACTCCACAACATGATTATTTGGTAAAGTGACCTGCAGAGACTGTCCCTTGGAGAGCAGGAACTGCAAAATTTGCATTGCTGATTCTCATCTGCCAGCCTGAATTTGCATGTTATGACCATGGACCAGAGCAAACACCAAAGAACAGTTCTTTAACCACCTTCCATTGTTCTGTACTGCTCCTGACCATCAGCAATCTGCCACTTCCCAAATGCGCAGCAGACTGAACTTGGATTACACTTTCATGTAAGTGTAATCACAGACGAACACAGTAGAAGAAAAGAGAACTAATTTCCCTGGCAGACCCAGTGCATCTCAGGTCACACCACATGCAGATACAAGATGGGAGGAACACCAGCTGCTGTTTATCACGATAATCTGGAAGCAGAGCTGAGATCTTGACAGTTTACTGGGCACTGCAGCATGGGGACCACGTCTGACTGTGAGGTCTCCTGCAGTTCTTGGTCAGACATGGGAAGTCCAGGCTGACAGCTAGCACCCGCAACTCGGACTCCTGTTCCTCCTGTAGTGAAACAAGTAATTACCAAGAATAAGAAGCAACAATAAATGAAATCACACTGTCTCATCTTGAACTATAAGGGTCACTACACTCCTCTCTCTTGTCTAAATGTGCTCTGAGCATATGTTTATATCCTACTACAAGGTAACATTATTGGTAAATGAGATGCAATCAGAAGCTGATTCATAAAGATGTTGTAAACACATCCTGAAGTGTGTCCTCCCCACGCACTAGATTACAGTTCAAGACAGGTATCTGTGGGAGTTGTCTCTTTCATGTTTGATTTAAATAGGTGGATTCGCTAAATATTTAGTCACTCCTAAAGCCTAATGGTTTTTTATGTGGTTCAGACTAACACCACTGGTAAATAGCCTGCAGGCACAATGGCTCAACATAACAGAACCAGAAATATGCCCTGCTGAATGCCAGCTTCCTTCCAAGGTTTGATTCTGGAGGAATTAGCAAAGCGACTGCTTGCAGGCTACCCTTTATCAGTTTCGCACCTGGAGGATCTGAACTTGAATGTTTCAGATGTTTTAACAAAATGGTTCTATCAGAGAAAACTGAAGAAAGGAATCTTTTTTTTTAGCTCATTCTCCCCTTTTACTTAGAAAACAAATTATAATAAGCCGTCTTGAATCCTTAGGTCACTGTTTTTTGGAAGATGTCCCTGCCCATGGCAGGAGGGTTGGACTAGACAATCCTTAAAAGTTCTTTCCAACCCAAACCATTCCTTGATTCCATAATTCTATGATCTATTAAATTTCCTGTGTCCTGTATACTACTGGCTATGCCACACAGTCTTTCAGATAAAATAAGCAGAAGTCCACGAAAACATGTCCGATTGAGTGATCATCTCATTTTCAGAGTTCTGTCTGAAAAGAAAGGATATTTTCTATTTTAAACACCATCATTATTGACTCACATAGCAGTCAGAGTACTGACCCAGATTACAGGCAAATTTGAGTATTAGCATGGAAGTCAGCATTACTGAAATTCTCCTGTGTGTATGTGCTCCTTATCTGCTGCTATTTTCCTCTTTTCCTAAATGAGATGAGAGTAACAGTGAAAAGCAAACCTGAAGCTAACCAGTGGAATAGAAAACTGGAAACAGAGACCATATGTCAGTTGTCAGATGGGGATATCAGAGAGAGGAGTTCAGTTCTGGGCTTTGCCAAGGATTCCTTTGTCACCCGAGGAAAATATTTACTAATGTTTTTATCAGTATGGAAAACACAGCCTTTAATCTCTGTATAAAAGATGCCTATCTGCAAAAAAAGGAAAAAAGCAATGATGCTCATGCTTTGCTTGTCTTGTCTATTTACTCTGAAAGCACTTGAGGGCAGGGATTGGCTTTATTCTTTGTTTGCACAGCACTGAACATGCCTTGTGTGTAGCTTCATTATAATTTGAATTGGCTATATTACCAGAAGCTTAGAAGCACTGAGTCTCTGCTGCTCCTGATGCTTACTGTACTACAGCCATTTCTTAGAGGGAACAGGGATTATTTCTCTTTCTGACTGGGGTGGAAAGGCTGATGACGGCAAGGAGGAATAAGTATTAGCTGCTTGGGAGGTCTGAACTTTAAATACTGCTGAGCAATGTCAGTGCTGTAGATTGAGCATTTTAGCTGTGAATTTATAGGTGCAAATTTACATTTGGAAAGTACTCTGCTGGGCACCACCTTGTGGCATCTGTGGTCATGCTGAGCTCAACATGGAAACCCACAATTCTCTGTTTGGATGCTCATGGAAAGGCCCCACTGAAATAATGTTTAAATAACAGGAGTTAAGGTACTATGTTATTTTTAACTTTTCTTATCTTCTAAGGATGGAAAGCTGCTACTCAGGAGTGTCATTACACAAACATTTTTGACACCATCTAAATTCAATCTGTGCTAAAATGTTCTGCAGTACTACTGCTCAGTTAGCAGCTTGGTCCTGCTGTGGGAAGATAGCACCCAGGACAGGCTGTGGATGAAGGAAGGAAGGGAAACCAGGAGGCTGCGGTGTGATGCTACAAAATTTTAATGAGCAAGAAATGCCTATGTTTGCAAAGCAAGATATCAAAGAATATGAAAAAACTGTTTCCAGACAATTTCAGAGAATGTTCAACAAATGTCCTGCTCAGAGATATTGCTGTCCTCAGCTGGCTTTCTTCTGTCTGTTGTGCAACTACTGATGAAGATACTTGTCATTATGAGTGATGTCCATATGGAATATGCTGCCCCACAAAGGTTAAAAAAATGGGAAAGCTGGAACAGGCAACGACAGCAAACAACAAACTAGAAACTGAAGGGTAAACAAAAAGTAGAAGATCAGAAATGCTAAGTGGCAGTAGCTCCATTGCAGGGTTGCCGAACACTGAACCCCCATCCTCATTGCTCTGCATTTGGGCCTTCATGCGTGGCTCTTCTGAGACCTCTCTGCTGCCTTTAGCAGGGCCCACAGCTGCTGCGGAGGAACCGGCTGTACCGGCGGGAGGAGTACGGGCTGCAGTACCCGCTGCCAAGCGTGGAGAGGGCTGAACTCCCATATCCATACTGGGCCCCATATCCCAGAGAGCTCCCATAACCGTAGAGGCTCCCAGAGCCATAGAGGCTCCCCAGCCCCAGGGAGCCCCCGAAGGCGGGTGCTCCGGAGGAGCCCACGACGGCTTGCTGGGGGAAGGAGCTGAGGATGGGGCCGGGGAAGGTGACGACGACGGGGGGCGGCTGGATGAGGGCCGTCGAGTCAGGGCACTGCCGGACACATGGCTCATTACAGCTGTTAGCGACGGGCTGGGGGCAGGCAATGCTGCTGGTGGTGGGGCACAGGTCGTAGCAAGACATTTCTTTCCAGGGATGAAGGCGATCCTGAAACACAGAACACTGAGCTGAATAAAAACAAAGCACAAGATCTACTGGAACAACAGGTCAAGGTTTGGTGCTGGGTTGTTGGGGAATAGGCAAAATGATCAGCAGATGCATAAGCAAAATGGATGACACTGTTCAGAAACTTTCCTGTCAATCAGCATTGCTCTGATCTTCCCCATCCAGTAATCCCTGCAATTCACATTCGCTCCCAGAGGAACAGAGTGTCAGCAGCACATTTTTTACTAAAACACCAGGGGTCCTCCCTGGTGAATGTGGGTTGAAAACCAGGAGCTGCAGGAGCTACACCAGAGCTGACCTCCTCGTTACACTGAATGGGACAGAAGCAGTTTTTGTCTTGGGAGAGATGGGATGGAATCAAGAATCCAGCACTGCTTTAACCACACATTTCCTCCTCCTTTCCTGGTCCCTGTTTCTTTTCAGTCTCTTTGGGGTAATATACTTTCAGTTGTTCCCTTTTAGTTCTACGTTTTCTTAATCTCTGTAATCCCTCTGGTAAAACCCCCAAAGCATTTGAGCCTGAGGATAGATTAATATACTTGATGTAATAAGTAAATATACCTATAAAATATTTCTATCCAAATATTTCTTGGCATAGCAGTGTAATTTCATATAGAGTGTGGAGCAGGCTGGTAAAATGTAAGGAGCCGATTTCTTTCATCAGATAAATATACAGCTTGCAAACCACCATTTCAGCTAAACGTCTGGTCACAAAAGCTTGTGGCTTAGCACTTTTTCCAGTAAAAAAGGAGGAAATACTATTTTGTTCATAAAGTAGCCCTGAAATGCAGAGAATCAAATCACTGAACTCAGTGTATCTGAACAGCTAATCTGAATCTGGATTTACAGACATATGACAAACACACTGGATCAGACACTGGTTTTCTTCCCTTATTATTGTCCCTGGTGAAAATAACTAGGGTTTAAAATAAGGAGGATTTAGTTTTTACCTACCCGTAAAAACTAAATGCAAGCTAGGATTATTCTGCAATAAAATTCCCGTGTAGATAATGCTTTTTCTTCAGCTGGGTCATTAAACAGCTTAGGATATGGCCATGTCTCTCTGATTCAGTCATTAACTGAAATGGTACAGGAAAATTCTGTATTTTAAAGCTTATGCCATCCTACATTTTCAATCTGCTAACAGTACAAGGATGCCCAAATATGAATTACAGTGAAATAAATGCCTAAAACCTTGGTCTTGACTACTAAAGCCTACCAGTAACACAACTTGCCAACATACTAAAAAAATAAAGGAGAGAAAAAGAAAGAGAATCAAAGAATAGTCCTAAAAACTCTAATGTCATAGTAGCGAACAGTATTCTAAGCTCCAGTGCAAAGGCATTCTGGCATTTAGAAAGAAATGAAATGGCATCAGACTTACCTGATGTAAAGCAGAGTACACAGGAGATGGAGATGGAATAGGTCTGCGTACCTGCTCCTTTTATACGGTGCTTCAGATTGCCTGGGGGGTCTGAGGCACACTGTACACATGAAGTCATAATCACCAACCAGCCCAAATTTGAAGCACATATAACTTCCCAAAGTGATGAAACTGTTTTCGCTTGATGTTTGCAAAATCATCCTAAATCTCTGAATAGCATGATATGCACATTCCAGCTCCCAGTTCTCTTTCATCTTGAAGCCTAATTGACCAGCTTCATTGCTGGTATCATTCCACCCTGCTCACTGGCATTGCAGGAGGAATTAAACTGGTTCTGTTTATTTAGCACTTCGTTCATTATCTTCCCATAGTGATTTTAATCAGAGCTGTAACCTGCTGTCATACACATGTTTGTATTTAAGTGCTTTGGATCTAGGCTGTAATCTAATCTACTCACACATTTTGTAATGAAATGTGCAGTGAAGTGGAAGACACCTTCTGATCCTTTTCCCACCCACAGCCACAAAACATGAGAGAGGTCCCATACATATGGTAATCATGGACATTGTCTAATGGCCTTTGATTTAGGTATTCTGAATTTTCCTTGTTGCTTGGCAAGACCAGCAGAAAACATAGTATTTTAGTACCTGAAACAGTGTTTAAACCAAAGGCCAAAGTTTTCTCTGAAGGAATATCAGTATTTTTTTTCCTTATTTTTCGCCTGGAATCTACAAAGGCACACAGAGCTTATCTCACGGGTTCAGCAACGTCGAATGGCTGCAAATGCAAACAGATCAATAGTTACTAGCTACTCTGTATTGACATTGCACAGCTCTGAAGGAGGACATAACACAAGACAGTGGTGAAGCAGGTGCAAATTTCTCGGTTTCTTTGCGAAATTACATGTTTCTGTCCACAACTGCACTCATTCAGTCTATATCTTCTCTTTCTTTTTGTTCATAGGATGGAGTGTAGTTTGCCCTTAGATCTACTCCTTCACCTTACAAAGGAATTGAACCTAAGTTTCTCTGGAGGATGTCACAGAACAAATTTTTGAGTGCTTCCTTCCCAGCCTTACTGGGTAAGTGGCAGGCAAAGCAATGGAATTATTTGAGGAATAGTTATTGCAACAGTGGATTTTTTTTCCTCTTCTTTCTTTCCTGACTAGCAGGACATCACCTACAGAGTGCATATTGTTGCAGAGCCCAGTTTTGACCACTAAGATTTCAAGTGACTTGTCACTTGAAATTACTCAGGCTTCCCCAATACTTAGCGGGGACGGACAAGAATTTCTGCAAGACAATTCATCCTGTCTCAGACGCTTACTTTACCAGAATTGGTATCACCCTCAAAACATAACAATTTTGCTTTCGTTGACTATGGAGACAGTCAACAAGCTCAACTGAAACACCCAGCTTTTAAACAGGGACAGTTTGATGAGATGTGTCCCACCTATATTCCCATATTCTGAAATGCTGTGTAATAAACAGTGGTCCAGCCTCAGAAATCCTCATTTGCCTATGCTTCAGTTGTTTGTCAAATAATAAACACTGCAACATTTCTATGAGAAGTTATACTTCAATTATGAGGTTCTTTTTTCCAGACTTTGAGATGGCCCTAGGGGATCACAAGAGCAATAATACTCACTAAGGTTGTTCAAATATTTCTTGTGTGTGTTTTTAAGCACTTCCCAAACCCTCCTTAGTAGTTTACGCATGAAGTGGTGCGTCATTATTGTAATATAAGTATGTGGTTGGCCTCAAGCAGCCCAGCATTTTGAAATATATTTATTAAATTGTACTGGTCAAGAGCACTCTTCCTGTTCCCTTTACCAGCTCATGATTTCTAGCCTTAGGATTTCAGTTGATTTTCTTTTATAATTCAGGTTTTCGTTTATTTGTTTAAATTTGTGTATAAGCTCCTTCAGTGCTGATATTATATTAATTCACAACCCCTTCAGTGTCTGTAGCACGAAGATCTGCAACATCTGCCTCTGTCCTCATGTTTTGAAACCTTTTCCTAGGACTTTCCTAGTCTAACTGCGAGCGGTCTACCTTTCTTCTGTGTTTTAAACACATGCTTAGCTTCCCAGAAAGATATATTTAACAAGTTGCCTGTAATCCGGCTAAGAAACTGTTTACCTTTGTTGTGACCAATGAATTTACCTCTAAAATGTGAAGAAACCATACAACTGGGTAGTCTGGGAGGGAAGACATGGGTCTGGATGATTTTCAAAAGTACTTTGCAATGTATCTTTTGATTTTTCCCCTGAAAAGTGCAGGATGGTCCTGTCCAAATCTTAATTCCAACTTCATATAAGGGTTGCTGATTTCACAAGAAAGACACCATGTTTTGTGTCAATTATACTTTATCTAGCATGGGTAAGGAAGGATGGAAAGAAAACCTGCATATGAAAGCAGATGACAATTATGATTAACATTTGAGCCACCATCATTACGTCAACCAATAAAAGAAGAGGTAAATAAAGCAAGCCAGCATAATTCCTCCTGTCATTCTAATGTATTTAATGGAATGTTACCAGGAAAGAATCTTTCCAATTAAGTGCTAAGATGAAAGAAATATTTGTTTTGTAATTTGCATTTCATGCAGCATGAGAATTTGAATCAACTAATAAACATAAATATTGAGCAAAACTGTTTCATCATTTTGAGGTGAACCATGTGTGATAAATGTGGGCTGGTGTTAATGGAAGTCTCAGGTTCTTCAGGCAGTTTGAGGAAATACATAAAAAGTCCCTCCTGAAAACTGCCTTGTGTTTACTTCTCTTGCCACCTTCTTCCCGGAGACAGATATTTTCTAGCTATCTACTTGATACTGTTGATACCTGAACTGTTCTTTTTCTGTAAATTTAAATTAGTCTTTCGTCGTTTATGAGGAGACAATGTTATATGCAGGTTTTAAGGGGTAAGCCGGTATTTTCCGCAATGGATTGTATAGGAGCTGTCAGCTCACCACTAGTTCAGATCTCAGGGTTATAATCTGCCAAACATATACCAAAACTCCAGACTGTTGTCCCACAAACTGCTCTGTACTCCTGCACCACAAAGGCCTCAGTCACAGCCATGTTTAGCAAAGGTTATGCCCTCTTCGTAGTTAATTACTTGGTGTTCCAGTTACTGTTTCAAATTAATTTGTATGGAAGAAAGCCAAAGCTTGAAAGGGATGTAAGCAAAGCTTCCTTACTCACAGCAAAAAGAGCCTCCAGGGTGTTAGAAATCAGGGGAGCCTTTGGGCAGTTCATTCAATAATGCATAGCACCAGGATTTTTACATCAAACTTGAGACATGTAACTGACTTTTATCAGAGACAAGTTATAGGATAAGAGCAACCATTTGTCTGAGGAAGCATGTGACCTTCTATATTCCTGTGTTTCCACTAAGCAATGATTAACCACCACTTAAAAATCATTTTTCTTACAGGGTTTATACAAATTCGAGGAATTACATCAACAGCAGCAAGTAGATCTTGGTGGGGTAGCTACAATTAGGTGGGATGGATCTGGAACTAAATTAGCATTTCAGAGTATCCAGACTGCTGTACCTTCCCCATTTCCATGAGATCTAAGCTTTTCTTCCTGTTCCAGGGGCATTTGTGCTGTGTTAGGCTTGCACTTAGTCATGTTTCCAGTTGGGCAATTCATGCCCAGCACCAGCGCCAATAGCTGCGAGGAGCTGACTGCCCTGACCTAAGGGCAGTGGCTCAGCCACCATCCACTGTCATCACCTTGCCAGCCTGGATGCTTAGTTCCTTCAGGACAGCATAGCGGGATCCCTGTTAGCACCCATACTTAAGGGCTTCTTTTGTTATGGTAGTCTTTACCACAACAGATTTTCTTACAGATTTTCAGGTCCTGGCAGCAAGTTGAACACCCCTTCTGGCTGTTGTTCTGATACTGGATACCACTGTGGACATTGTGGGTCTTGCTGGAAGAGCTATTCAATTTACCAGAGACAACTAAATAAAAACAAATAAAAGGCAGATTTATAGCTGACTTTTTAGGTAATGAGTGCTGAGAAGTGTGCTGTATACACTGTCCAGTTACAGAGAGTGGAGCTGGGCATGCACAGCAGCTTTTGCCTTTCTTTCTTTCTTCATATTCTGCCTTCAGTTTCTGGTCGGATGTTCTCCAAACACTTATATTACGCTTAGCCATACTTACTGTAGTAAAATATGTAGCCTAAGATCTTTTGGCAGCTGAACCACATAAAGAAAACTATCTTGTGAGATAAGCATCTGCTCAAATCAGGAGATGGTTACATCCTTTACTGATAAGCTAAAAAGATGTGCCATGTATGGTGCAGTGGTTTTGTTTGGTTTTAGGCTATCTATATAATATTTACACAAATTCTATTTCTATTTAATATATACATAACTTAAAGAGAACCAAAGCAGTCCCAAACCCAGGAACTCAATCAGATATACTGTGAAATTATGCACATGGTCCTTACTGTGGTTTTGAAGAAGTGTCATCTTCACAAAGTCAGAATTTTGGAGAGTGAGACAATTTAATAGCATGGATCTAGGCTGGCCTGTGCTAGAGAAACACAGAATCCAAAATTCATTTTATATCAGTCACCAACCTTCCATTAAGAGCTGTGGTGGTGAAATTATTTGTACGACATTGGATTAGAAGTCTGCAGTGGAATAAGCGAGAGCTTAACTTTCAGAGTGTGAACAGTCACTTATAGTTCAAAGAATTATCTCAGAAACTTATGAATGGGGAGCTTAATAAAGTAATGTGCAGAGAAAGCTGCTGTTCATCTATGGCCAGCATATTGTGATCATGTTTTTGCAATTCAGTGGTGAAACGCACCTAGCAAGGGCTCCTCATGCCTCACTATGTGGGCAGTGTTTGCACAATATTATTGCAGCCATACGTACAACAGGCAGCTTTATCCAGAAAAGTTGGCAAATTCAGAATGCTTGAGGACACAAAATCACAACACACTTATTTTAAATGATGCAACAGAATTTTAATGAGAATGAAAAGAACAAAAATATATTGCAATATCAAGAATGTATATCCAAGATGTCAGAGTCAAAAGCATTTTGAAAGACACTGTTAAATGTCTCACTGCGTTCAGTCACAAGTATGATAAAGTAAAGATAACAAAGAATTGAACCCATGAAGATATCAGGAAAGAATTCAAAGGAAAAAAGGAGAGGTGCAGAGTATGCAGAAGGCACTGCACTGAACAGGATTTGTGAGTGCTTTCACAAAGCTGTCACTCATCTGCTCACTGGTGAATCTGCATTTTGTTTCTCACTTATACATTATTCAGTGGATTTTCCTGTTGTGTTTAGCAGGGCCCGCAGCTGCCAAGGCTGTACCTGTTGTACCAGTAGGAGTAAGGGTTGCAATAGGCAGAGCCATAGGGTCTACCATAGCCGTACAGACCCCTGTAACCAAGAGAGCTCCCATAGCCGTACAGACCCCCGTAGCCCAGGGAGCCATAGCCCCCATAGCCATACAGACCCCCATAGCCCAGGGAGCCATAGCCCAGGGAGCCATAGCCCCCATCGCGCCCAAGGACGGGGGCTCCAGAGGATCCCACAACTGACTCCTGGGGGAAAGAGCTGAGGATGGGGCCGGGGAAGGTGACAACGACTGGAGGCGGCTGGATCACAGTCATGGAGTCAGGGCACTGACGGACACATGGCTCGTGTTGCAGCTGAGCGAGGGGCTGGGGGCGGTAGACGCCGCAGGCAGAGGTGGAGCACAGGTCGTAGCAAGACATCTCGCAGGGGTGGAGGTAAGCTGCAACACACACTGATGAGCAAAGGAAAGGCACAAATTAAATGGGAAAAAGAGTTTGAAAGTTAGACGCATGGACTAGAATAATGGCTTTATCTTTTAGGTCTTGATTGTCCTTCATTCTCTTCAGTATTTTTCATGAGACATCTCTCCCTTGTAAACCAGCATTGCCCAGATTGCACACTGAGCAGTCATCTGTTGTATGGTCTCATTCCTAATTTCTTATACTTGGATCCCTTTAAGAAGTAGTTCTTTGTTCTATCCCACTGTCAAACTGCAAAAATATTATCCAACACTTTATTTTGCAAATTACTTCCACTATACTTTGCAGCCACGCATAGAATGTCTATGTCTAAAAGGTTGTTTCAGGTTTGTTTTCTGCTAGCATAAACAAAGCAGTGTAACTTAACAACCAGAAAAGCTCACATGGTAAATTAAAGGGTAGCTGGAAGAACAATGCTGGCCTATTGACTTGTAGCGTGCTTCCAGAAGCAATAGCTAAAATCATGCTGCCAGTACACTGAACCTGCTATAAACATGGATTAAATAAGGCATTCCCTGGTCTGATGTGCTTGCAAAGTAGCTTGAGATTCACAAGATGGGTGAAAAGATTACTTGTCTGGTTTCCCAGATGAGAAACTAGTACACTCAGATAACTAGGGCTAGGTTTCTACTGCAGATAGGTGTGCTGGGATCTGAGCTCTTCAGGAAGATTCTCACCATAGGATCTGCTCCAATCTAAAAGAAAACTCATGGAAGGACTAGGAATCAGTACTGCCTGTGAACATTTTTTTTCCCCACTAGAACCAATAAAATACTAGACTAGAAGTGACTTTTGGAGGTCATCTAGTCCAACTCCCTGCTAAAAGCAAGGAAAATGTAAAGGGTAGGTTAGGATTTCCTAGTTTCATCTCTGTTTTCCAATACCTCTTTAGACAATACTTCTATATTCTTTTTCATAAAGCTTGTCCCCTCAAGAAATACATACATACACATAGACACATATTAAAAACTTCCATGCAAAATCCTTAAAAAATCCCTAGTGATTGAATAAGTCTTCTGCTGATGTTTTGGAAACTGCTTTGATAGCTCTAACTTGTATTAACAGGAAACAATATTTTTTGAAAAAACTAGTTTTACCATTTTAAACCCAAATATATGGATGTCCAACACCAAATAAGAAAAATAAATTCATGGCAAAATAATCCAACACTATTAAGAATCTTAGAATACTTATGGATGATTCAGACCTTATTTAAAATCGGCAGAAGAGAGATACTCGAGTTTTAGGAAAGAGATCACAGAGAATGATACTTACCCTTTTCACGGAGGTGAATAAAGCAAGCAAGGTGGAATGAAGAGCCCCGAGTTGGGAGAGCTTTTATACAGTTCCCTAGATCATGGGGATCACTTAAGGTGCAATTTGTGCATGTGCATAACTGGGGCAAACCCCAAACTAATATGACACGTAGGTCCTCAAAGTTTTGCTGACTATTTGTTTATTTCTTGGTTCGAAGTCTCATGAAATATGATAGGTGCATTTCATCACAGAAGCCTCTTTCAACTCAAATGGTTACTTGTCATATTCACTCCTGTTATCATTCCATTCATATCCTTGGCGTTACAACAAGAATTATACTAACGCTCTTCATTAGCTTCTCCATTATTAATGGCAAAACCCAACTGCTCACTGTGTGGCTGTGGTCACCTGATATGCACAGATTTTTCCATTAAATCCAGGCTGTAAGATATCTGGAGATAAAATGGGGTTCATTAGAGCAACTTTGGGGTCGTCATTTTAATCTTTATCATTTGCACTCTCTGCTACCAATACTGCACCCAAAGGAAGCCATAGAAAACATCCTGTGGTCCTTAAATGGTTTTCTATTGTTTGGCTTTTGCTCCTGAACACAATGCTGGCCTCATCTAATGAAGCAGGGACTTGGGGAAATAGCTCTTGCTTTCTTTGTTGTGCATTAAGCTGTGGATTCCTCTCCTTGTCCTTTTCTCAAACACTGGTAAGTCCTTTGGACCTTCATTCTACAATGGTCTACAAGAGGTTTAAAGCAGAGGGCAGAGATAGAACATCCTTTTAAACTACTCAGATTTTTCTAGCAGGTCTCTCTCACTATATTTCAACCGAGGTTGGAGTCTAGAGGCAAACTAAACACTTACCCCTTCTGTTCTCAAAATTGTAAGGTACTTTCTTTGTGAAGCATTTGTCACCCACATTTTCCAGTTTTCTGTCCCCTGATACAAAGCCTTCAGGGATGCGTTTTTAGGTCCATCTTCAGATCAGGCAATATTGAAGACTACTAAGAAACAAAATTAAATGAAAAATGGCTGGTGGCAACTTGCTAAAGGTGTCTGGAGATATGCTACAATAGAGACAGAGAAATCATTTACATGGATAAAGGCTGATCATTGGTAGAATTGTAACATCTCGAGAAAATAACTAAGTCCTCTGTTTCTGTGCTCTGATGTGCAACTGAAAATGATGAAGATATACACTGATTATACAACTTATGAAACACTGTATTTTATTTAAAAATTTATATTTCATTCTATACTTCTACACTGAAAAAAATGAAGATGTACAAATCTCCAGTATTCAGGCATGAACTGATTATACCAAGGACGCAAATACCTTGACTTACATACGTATTGTAATGTGATGTCATTCTATAATTGCAAGGCACCTAAATCCAGGTACATGCCTTTAATTGTAAGAATGCGTTCTCAAACCATTAGTGGGTAGTTTGCAGCATTTGAAAAGACTTGCTCCCTGGAAGCTTGAAAATATTACTGTCAAAAAAAACTTCTAACCACCTCAAAGGCTGAGAAACCCACCTCATAATTTAGAGGTAATCTATGGCATAGAGTCTTCAGTATTAAAATAACACATCTGTAAACAAGCGAAGAACCAGCCTTTGTTTTGTGTGGTGAATTCCAAGTTCATAATTGTTCCCTGTTTGCAGAAACTGCCAGCTCAGCCCCGTTCTGGATTTATGGCTTGCAGCAGCAATAGTGTATTACAGAAGGTCATGTGTTCCTGACAATCGAAGTCAATAATTCAAAACATTTCTCTCACATTTCAATTTTTGCACCAGAGGATCCATTTGTACTGAAAAAGCTTAGGTTTCCTCTGGCCTATTAAATATTCTCAAGTATCATCTTTGCACCGACAACATCAAACCAACAATACCTGGAAAAATTCTCTTTGGGATCTCCAGTCCCTTTGTAGCTTTAGTTAACTTCAGAAACACATTCCATGTTTATCTCTTAAAAAACAAAAACAATCCCCGGGAAGATAAAGGTTTCCTGTCCATCTCCTATGTGAAATTGTGCAGACTTATCCCCACACATTTTTGTGAAAAGAATACAACAGTTTGAGTGACTGATGGATGGAGAAACTGATTCTGCTCATATCTGCATGAAACGAGTTCCCAGTGCTCCAAAACTAAGGATTTCACAATTTTTCTACTCAAAGCTAAATTTCTATTTCCACAGAAACCTTATTTAGAGACTGAAGCACACGTTGCATGTCCCTGGAATTGCTGTTGCACTTCGAGCTGAATTGTCCCTATTACAGCCAGTGTCAAATACTACTGAAAAACGTCATTGACTCCCAAGGGTGCTGTGCCCCCCACCTGCAGGTGCGGAAGCTAAACATGCAGAAGCCACCCCCAGCCTTCCTGCATATCACATTGACAGTCTTTAACTTCTGTCCTGGCAGGTTGTAATGTGAATTATATGTACTTAAACAAAAATCCTGTCTATGACAGCAGTTTGTAGTTCTGATAAACGCATGAGACACTCTCCAGGTGTTAAGTTAACACAAGAGGAGTGGGCTTAATGCTTTCTGTTGTAATTTCAAGGAAGTGACTGGAATAAAGTCAGGTATTAATTTTCCCCAATAAGTCACAAGATGAAAGAATTCTCTATAATCTAAACTAATGTTCAGGTCCTATTACTAACAAATTTGAAAGGACTCATAAACTGCAGTAACAAACACAGCAATTTCGTCATCTTGACAAGTTACGTGTGTTTGAAATTGGGGCGGGCAACCAATGTTGATCTCGTACCTCCAGCTGCTCTGATATAAAAGCTCTTCTCTCTCATAGCTCTTCCAAACACTTCCCTTGACTTCTTGGTGACTTGGGTAAGTCTGATTCTTCTCTGTTGCTATCAATGTGTCTTTTTATTGATGGTTTCAATGTCAGTTGATGTCCACCATCCATACCGTTGAGTGTATCTGCACTGCTTTTGGACAGAGATTCTCATGCTGACTCTGGGGTGGCGGATACATGCATTTGATGCGTGGGGCACAGCAGAATTCTCAGTGTCAGGAACACTGGGACATGCATAACACTATGCTCACTTCAATGCATTTAACTTATTCCAAAGTTTGCATGTTATGAGGTTCAACGTTTAATAAGAGCGTCACCACTGCAGACATTCATGCAACCTGAGATGAATGAGCGATGCATCTGAGAAAGTTGTGTGTGTTGTCCTGGTGCAGCAGATCTTCTGGCTTTCCTTTATTTTACTGCTTTCATATTCTTCCTCAGAACCCAGCTAAGGACTTGCAGTACGTAGTGAGTGGAGAAGAGTAAAATCACCCTAGAGAAAATAACTAAGTTTAGAGGGAAGAACATAGGCTGAATTTTGGGGTTTACCAAGGAGCCCTGGTTTGTCCTGGGAGTAAAAATTTGAAATGAGTTTTTTTAAAGACATCAGGACTAAAATGGTGATTTATATTGAAATTGTCCAGGCTGTATCCATACAGTGGCTGCGTAGATGAGAACTGGGATAATAACACTACCATCTGTACTTTATTGTCTTGTCAAATGGCTTTCTGAGCAATCAGGGCAGTGACAATCTCATAATCTGTTGTTCCTACGACTCTCCGCAAAATTGGGATGAGTGGGAAGAAGCTACTGTAATTAGTACATCTTATGTAAACCTCCTGAACCCAAATCCAAGTTTTCCCACTGACTCATCAAATGACCTTGGACAAAGTATCTTTGCTTTCTCTGTTTTTGCTTCTCAGTTTTCAGTTTAATGTGTACAAATATATCTAAGTTCTTCACAGGATATTCATGAGGGACAACACTTTCAGAGCTAGGCGCAATGTTTCCCATATGCCTTTGTATGTGTAGGCATGTTTTAGAGAATTAGAAAATCTGCTTTTTGAAAAGAGTATTATGATTGCAAAGTGGGAAATCAATTTATTTCCTCAAAATCATGTACTTGACTTGTTATTTTAATATGAACTGTTGAATTTTGAAGTCTTTGTCTTCTACTTAGTCCAATCATCAGTGTGTGTTGCAGCTTACCTCCACCCCTGTGAGATGTCTTGCTACGACTTGTGCTCCACCTCTGCCTGCGGTGTCTACCGCCCCCAGCCCCTCGCTGACAGCTGCAACGAGCCATGTGTCCGTCAGTGCCCTGACTCCATGACTGTGCTCCAGCCGCCTCCAGTCGTCCTCACCTCCCCCGGCGCGCCACT